CCCCCCGCCCCGTCTCCAGGAGGCAGAGCAGATTAGCAGGACTAGGGGCTGAGTGGGGCAAAGCCCAGCAGGACAGGGGACAGGAAGGCGGCCTCAGCAGGAGAAAGCACCCAGCTGTACACACTGTACCCTCCCCTGTCCTCACAGTCACCAGGGGAGGGGCCAGCTGAGGTGACCCTGGGCAAGGCAAGGCTCACCTGACATATTTGTGTGTAGGGGGCTTGGCGCAGTGGGTAGTGGCGATGCCCGACGACAGGTATCGGTCTCTGCGCCGCTCGATGCGCCGCACGTTCACGAAGTCCCTGGGGAGCAGGAGTGTTAGACTGGAAGCAGGGAGCCAAGCCCAAGATCCAAGGGTAAGAGGTCTGCCTTAGAGGAGGGGCTTGGTGGTGCTCACCTCGGGGAGACCACCCCGCCCGCGGCCCCCGAAGAGACATCGTAGGAGATGAGGGTGTTGTCCTCTACTCGCTGCAGGATCTAAAGGCCGTGAGGGGAGATGTGAAGTATGGCCCAGCCCAGGAAAATCCCAGTACCTCAGGGAACCCCCACACCAGCCTCCTCTCTGCCCAGGCCCTTTACGGAGAGCCACTTCCAGGCCCTGGGCTGGGCTTTCTCTGCATGCTCCCTCTCCATCTTCCTGACCCTCACCAGGAGGCACTGTTACCATCATACCCATTTTAAAGACCGGAAGCTGAGGCACAGAGCAGTTCATGACATGACCCAGGCCCCCTGGGGTAACTGGTCGTGCTGGGGTATGACTGCACCCTAATCTGCCGTGTTGCTCTGCCTCTGCCCTGAGAGGTAGCCAGGCCAGGCCCCCCGGTTCTTCGGCTCACCTGGCAGGCAGTCACCGTCTTGTTCCACAGCACCATCCTCTCGGGCTGCAGGATCACCTCCTGGTACACCAGCTCCGCCGGGCAGGGCAGGAAGGTCTGGGGCAGGGCGGGCAGAGGGCTGGGTGGCGCCAGATGTGCTTGGACACATCAGCCCCTCCCTCTTGGTGGAGAGAAACCTGCCAGAAGGCAGGAAGCCCCTTCCTGAAGTCTTAGAGCAGGAGGCTCCGGGACACTCCAGCACACCTGCTTCCCTCACTCACCTTCAGGATGAATGTCTTCCCATGAAAGGGAACCTCAATGGTATACACAGTGTCCCCATATTCCTGTGGGAGTGACAGAAGCGTGACAGGGAGGTGGGTGGAGGGCATGGGGGAGGGCACGGGGGGGTGGGCTACCGGCAAAAGAATGGGCGACAGGGCAGGTTTTTAACAGCTTAGGGTAGAAAACTCTGGGAGTTTGGGGATATTCAAGTAGCCACTAAAAAACAGTGGTTCTGACAAACGTCCAGCAATGAGCAGAGTAAGGCTTTTGATATCAAGTTAAAGGACAGAAGCACAGCTACAGCCGTTGTCTCCAGGCTGGCCAGGGCTGTTGAGAGGGACTGGCCAGAGAGAGGGACGGGGACGTGTCCGCCTTTTCCCAAGCTCCCTGCCATCTCTTTAGATAATGTTGTTTTGATCACGAAACAAAACACCAGACATAGGGCAGAAGCCTGGCTTCCCCTTCAAAGCCAGAGCTGAGTGAGGAGAGCAGCAGGGAGCTGAGGATGGGCGTGGGGCCACGAGCAGAGGGAGGGGGCAGTGGAAACATCCAACCCAGCCCAACCTCCTGCCAGGTGGTGACCCCAGGGCCCAGCCCCCACTCCTGATGCAGGAATACGGTTCCAAACTGTGCAATTCTGAGGGCTTCTCAGGCCTCAGAAAAGCAAGCAAAATTCTCAACACACATGAGCAGGTTAGGTGGGAGAGAAGTTTCTTACATTGTTCTTCTCAAATTTCCAGTTCTCCTCCTGGGCCAAGATCTGGTCCACCACCGCCATGGCCTCCTTGCCCTGATGGATGTACTCCCGTTCCTGGCCAGGGATGAAAGGCATGGAGGGGTCAGCCTGAGGCCCATACCCTACCTTGTTCGTGGCCAGTTCTTTCTCTAGATACTCCACACACATGGAGTCTGGGTGGTCTCTCGGGCCCTGTGGGGTCCCCCAGGTGCTGTGGCTGCTCGCCTCCGGGCCCCAGGTATGAGGCAGACCGGTGGGCCTGACTGACGGTGAGCCAGACACGCAGGTGCACGACGACTGGCATTCGGGCTGCCTGAGGTCCATGCTCTGCTGGGAAGGCCCTGCCCACCCTGGCTGAGCCCAGCACTGGCCCTTCTCTGAGGTGCCCACTCCAAAGGTCAGGCGAGGTGGGCAGCCAAATACCTGGGCAGAGAAGATTTTCTTCCCAAGGTCTTCATCTGATTCATTGTCAGACCCTGCAGAAAACAAGCACAGAGACATTAAGAAGGTGTGGGGACAGACTGTGGGGACATAGTGGGATTCGGGCATAAGTGCAACGTTGCGGGGAGGACAGAAATATGTGTAGAAGAAGGTTGCTCACTTTCCCCGGAGAGCCAACAGAAGGAACAGAAGGAACCCAGCCAACCCACTCCTCATAAAGACCCTCCCTGAAAGCAGTTCCCCATCCACCAGCCCTCACCTGCAAAGGATTCTGGGGGTGAATAGAACTGGCCCTCGGATAGAGCGCCAGAGAAGAGCAGGGGTCCTCGGGCGACAGCAGCCTGGGCAGCAAGATACCCTGGGGGAGCAGACATGGGCAGCCATTGTCCCAAAACAAGAGCAGTCATGCCTTAGCAGCCTGGGGTCCCCCCAACTCCAAGCTCATCTTTAGGCTCTTGGAGGCTGTTCAGAGCTGGCAAGATAGCTCAGAACTGGCTCTCATGCCTGAAAGTCTCCTCTCTTAGGGCTATGATGACCCTCACTGCACCCCTTCCCCCAGCACTCACATCGCTCCTCCTCAGCCTCCTGTGGTAGGACTTTGAAGTCAAGGAACCAGGTCTCCAACCAGGCAAGGACAAAGGAGACGATAGGGAGCAGGTAGCCGAATGCCCCTTTGCTGAGCAGCTGTGGAAGGACGGGGCTGAGCTCCACGGTAGGGGGGGTCGCCCCAAAGCCAAGAGTCCCCTCTTGGGGCTAGTAACTCTGGCATACACCCCATTCCTGGACCAGCTGCTTGGGGACCTCTGCGGCACACACCTCTGAGACAGATTAATGAATTCTGCAGCAGGATAAACTGAGGTTAGGCTGGCAGAAGGACTTTTTGTTCTTGGGGTTGTAGAGGGGCAGGTGGAAGAAGCCAGTGATGAGGATTCCTTGGAACTATCAAAGGACAGGATTCCCCCTCACCCCACCCTGACAACAGAGACAGACACCCAAAATCAGAGAAAGGGTCCCTTCTTAGGAGAAGCCCATCCCCCAGGCTAGAAACCCACCAGACCAGCCAGACCCCTGAGCCACTAACCTCAGAGAGGATGACCTTGACAATGAGGAATGCACTGGACACCAGTGTGGTGACCTGCCCAGGGGAGGAAGGAGGGAGAGAGGGCAAACAGGCTGGGGGGTGAGTCCTCCTCCACACCATCCCTTGCACCAGCCCCACCAGAGCCTGAAAGCTGCGGGGAAAGTGGCGTCTTACCGCAATCACCCACCAGTGCCGGAGCCTCAGCACAGCATAGCCCAGGAGCAGTCCCGAGAAGCGGAAGAAGGCCAGAACCTGGTTGGGGGCAGGGGGGAGGGGGGCAGGACACAAGCCATCACAGGCAAGCCACTGCCCTTCCCCCTGCCCAAGGCTGACCTCCCCCAGGTTCTCTCTACATGGGCATGCATGCCGTGGCAGAGAATGGTTGAGTCAGTGTTTCTCTGGGGACGACTTGGATGTGACCTTCTTAGACAGGGGTCTACTCTTCCCCTTTACGCTTGGGGCTCTCTGAAGGGAGAGACTTGTTTAGGAACTTTCTGAATATTGAGAGCTCCCTGAGGATGGGAGCCAAGTCTCCTTGCTCAGATTAGGGTGTGTGTTGCAGAGAGAAGAGAAGCCAGCCAGGGAGTCCTGTCCCTGTGTCATCTCTGCCCCCGGGACCCCCTAAGTCCACTCACAAAGATGTCAAAGAAGGAAGTTTTAAAGTTGTAGTGGATGATCTCCTGCTCCAGGTTCTTCTGGATGCCTGTGTTGGTCTGGAAGAGGGAGATATGAACAGCTCTACAGGCAGAAACAAGTCCCCAGGGGTGCCCTCACCTCTGAGGATGGGGAGGAGACGGGGAGTGTGGAACCTGGAGATGTTGAGCCACTGCCCAAGGAGGGCCCCAAAACACCAAGGGAGCTCAGCCAAACTAACATCATTCATTCCTCCAAGCACCAGGCAACCTAGACAGGCAGGGTCCGGCTCCAGCAATGACATTCGAGGGCACAGTGCGCAGGGAGGGGGAGTCTTGGAGGCCCCAGGGCTGTGTAGGGGAGGCTACAGGCCCTGTGCAGGCAGGTAGGGCTGGTAGACTGGGCGCTGAGAGCCTGCCTCTCACAGAATCTCATCTCCCTCTCACCACTATGGGGCTCCATCTTCCCAGGCAACCATCCATCTGGGGCGGTGGGGACCGGGGGGTGAGCAGTGGTGTCAGACGGAGCCCCAGGTGGCAAATCAACTGATTAGGTTTGTGCTTAATGGGCAAAATCCATCATGGTGCTGGAGAGGATGCCCAGCAACGGAGACGGGAGTGAGCAGACTTGTCCTCACCCCTGTCCCTGCCCTAGTCACCCACACATTTTCAAGGGGAATCCTGATACTTTGGCTGGGGAGGGAGAGGATGTGGATGGACACTGAGAGCCAGACCACAGCCCGACTTCTCAGGAGGAATGGGGTGCCAGCCCCCTGGAGGACGGAGGACAGAAGGGGACTCCGGGGAGTGGAACCCAAGAGCCTGGAAGGTGAAGACCCTTCATGACCACCTAGACTGGAGTTCCTAATCCCTGGCAGATGATCCAAATTGAAGTAGGGGGGCTTATTAAAGATACAGATGTTCAGGCCACTGAATCTCAGATTTAGCTGAGCATCTGGAATTTTCATACAGTTCCCAGGTGACTCTGATGCTCAGAGCAGGAGCCAGTAGTCTGGGCAGCCACCTCAATAACACTTGAAGGCCCCTACACGTCTCCACCATGTGCTTCTACCTCAAGACCACCCTGAGCCTCATGGAGTCTCACACACCACCCCTCACACCTGACACCCCACCCAACCCCACCCCAGCTTGGTCTTCCTCTTCCTCCTCAGACTGCTCCCTCTCGGGCCCCATAGCCCCTCTGACCCCTAACAGTCGCCGTCCCTCACAGCTCTCCCTCTGCCTGGGCACGCACAGAAGCTGAGGACATCCTGACTCGGGGGACCTGAGTTCCAGCCCCTGCCAGTCTCTGGCTATGAGACCTCGCATGGGTGTCGCAACCCTCCTGGGGTCCTTACATCCAACGCACAACACCCAGTCTGTTAGAAAACTAAAAATATATATGCTCTAAACCAGGAAAATAAAACTACAAAACCGAAAAGTATCCCATTTTTAAATAAGTGTCTACCAAGTGAAACATTATGGCTAACTCCACTAATGGTTACAGTCCAGCACTCTGAACTTTTATGTTTGAAAACAATTTTGAGATTAGATTTTTTTCTTGTTCTGCAAGAATTCCCAAGTGTGTATAATGACTGCTGAGCTATTATAGCCAGTACATCTAGGTGATTTCAAAAGTAAAATTACAAAAAATTTTTTGGCTATTTTCCGGAAAAAAAAAATATTTTGAATGAAGGCTGTGGGTGAATTTTAGTGCTTGCTTTGATGCTGGATGGGACCTTCAAAAAGAAGAATGCCTAAGACCTCAGAAGCTCTTCAAATGGCTCTGGACCTTGCTGGCCTCTGCTTTTTCATTGGCAGGATGGTCCTTAAGGTCCCCCAGGGCCCAATCTTGTTGAAGGTGCCAGTTCATCTCTGTGCACAAAGGACAGTCACCCTCAGAGCCCTCCAGCTCCACACACCCAGAATCAAATTTGTCCTCTCCACCTCTAAACCAGCCCCTTCCCCAAACTCCTCACTTCTATCAACAAAGTCATCCTTTTTCTGTCACTGAGCCTGAGACCTGGAGAAAGGGCTCCTGCCATCCTGAACTCTGACCCATTCTGCAGAAGGAAAACAAGGGAAGGCTCAGAGAGGCGGAGTCCCCTGCTGAGGTCCCACAGTGAATACAGAGGAGGAGCCAGGACTGACTGAGCCTGGGATGCTTTGCTCCCACAGCTCCTGCCTCTGTGGTTGGGGCTGCTCTACCCTGTTGGTGCCTGGAGATCAGGTCCCACAAAGCTGGCCAAGCACTGCCCAAGGGGAGGAGGTTAAGGACCCGGCACTGAGAGGCAGCTCCATCTCCAGGCTGCTAAGTGGCATCTCACCAGCCTGGAGAGGCCAAACTGGGGGGCACCGGAGGAGTGTCCAAAATGGAGAAAGAGAGAGCTAGGAACCATTGAGAACTGGGAGTTTTTACTGGTTTGTTCCCCCACCGTACCCCCTGCCTTCAGCACAGTGCCTAGGATACAACAGGGCTTTGAAAAATGTTTGTTGAATGAATGAATGAATGGAGCAAGAGAGCAACATAGCGCAAAAAAAAAGACAAAGGTTTCAATAGTCCAACCAGAGTCCACTGGGCTGTCTCCTCCTTTCTCAAGAGTGTCCACTAGAGGGCAGGTTGGCACGGAGGTCGAGAGTGTGAACTCTGCAGCCTGAGGGTCTGGGTTCAAACGCTGCCCTCCTTCGCATACTTGCCAAGAGAGCCTAGACAAATGACTCAAGCCCTCTGAGCTCCCAGCTATTCTGATCTTCCTGTTCTTCATCTTACCTGGAAATCTGTCCTGCCAGAGAGGCAACCCTCCCAGACAGCTGGTGCAGCAGCTAAGGCTCGGATGACCCCCGCCCCAGCCTTGGCCCCACTCACGTTCAGTTCAATGATCCAGAGCAGGGAGATGAAGAGCAGATCGAAGGTGACAAAGAGACAGAAGGTGCGGCGGACATCAGAGATGGCTCGGCGCTTCTCTGGAGGTGGGGGGAGGAAGTGGGAGGAGAGGCCCTGGGAGTGGGACAGTGATGAGCTAAGGGAGGCCACGGCCGGCAGGCTGCGCTCCAAGTCACGGGCCAGCTCCACAGACAGTCTGTTCATCCTGGTGGGCCCCCACCTCAAGGTGGGGAAGGCGGGGCCTCAGCTGCAAGGCTGGGGAGAAGCAGGGCAGTTGGGTCAGGTCACACGTGTCTCGTGTCAGGGGCGTGGAGGTCCCATTAACCTCCTTCATCTCTTCACACACAGCCCCAGGGACCCCGTTTGCTCCCAAACACATCTGCCCCCTCTCACATCTCAACCCCCTAGCAGCCCTTCCAGCCCAAATTCTCTCCTGCAGCCCCACTTCTGGGCTGGAGGGGTTTGAGCATCCCTCTCTCTCGGCCCTCCTCACCAACCCCCGGTAAAGCCCAGCGGCCCCACGGTTCACCCTTGGAGGGCTCTGGGGTCCTCCCCGCTGCTTGAGGGCACAGCCTGCTCCTGCCAAGCCCAGCCCTGTGGTTCAGCCTCCGGTCCTGTCAACAGCCTCTCGGCCTGCCCCCACCCCCAGGAGAAGAGGGCCCCAAGCTCTGTTCTTTGTTTGCCAAGCACAAAGCCACATTCCCTCCCAGCAGCCAGCCCTACCCTCCCACCCCCTAATCCATGGCAACTGGGAGGGACTTCCTAGAGCAGTGTCTCCGTCTCCGAGTGCTCTGCACTGGGACAGCGGGTATGGAGAAAGGACATCTTGGTCCCTTCTCTCTAGCTCCACCCCACCACCCCCATGTCAGGCCCAACACCATCCTCTGGCCTGGCCATTACAACTAGCCTAGCGGGCGAGTCTCCAGGCTGCCTCTCTCACGCTGTAACAACACTTCTTGCACAGCCAGAGAAAGGCTTTCCAAACACTGATCACACCCTGCCATTCCCCGAGCCCTCCAGTCCAGGCCCTGCCAGCTCTTCCAACGGCTCCTCGCACAAGGCAGGCAGGGCTCACCCCCAGCGCCACCCTGGCCTTCTTTTAGGTCCCTCAATGTGGCAGCCTGGTCCTGCCTGGGGCCTTGGACCTAGCTCTCCCTTCCCCGGTCCTTCCAAGAAGCAGCTCAAAAGTCCTCTCCTCAGAGACCACACCCTCCTGCCCCCAGTCACAGTGTCTTGTCCTGTTACGGGGCTTCACATTCTTCCGTGAACTCGTCACTACCCAAAATGGTCTTATTGTTTTACAAACCCTACAGGTACGGGGCTTTCACCTGACTGGTAATTGCTGTCTCCTGGCGCCTAGCACGATGCCTGGCACCTAGTGGATGCTGGACTGGCTGCTGAACAAATGGGGGCTCCAGGGGGTCTCCTGGTCCTCAGCTCCATGCTACACAGCAGAGAAATGGGGCAAATCCTGAAGAGGGGAAGAACCAGCCACTGCCCGAGGCTAGGCCAGAGCTCCACTGCCTACAGAACACTGTGCCCTCGGTTGTGTTTCATGCCCACACGGGGCAGGATGGGTCCTTCCGCATTACAGGTAAGGCAGCCAAGACTGAAGGGTGAATGGACCCACCCCTTACCTGTCTGTGCGACCATGGAGCTGAAATTCTTATGAATGCTAGAGGCAGAGGGCCTCGGAGCACTCCCTCCCTGCCACACGGCCCCCAGACCCAAGGTCTCTACTCCACCAACGTGCTGGCAAGGAGCCTGAAGAGGTCCTGTTGCCTGGGCAGGGCGCACAGCATGGTCGGTGCCTTACACTTCTTCTGCTCCATCAGAGTCTCCCTGAATCTTCTCTCATGCCAGCACCAGGGGGCAGGTTTGGGGGCCAGCGAGAGGGGAACCCTAGATATTGGTCTCTGATCCTGGGACGGCAAGATCTAACCAGTCTCCCCCCTAATCTGTTATCATTTCATACCTTTGTTATGTCTACTACTGGCCGGGGCCCTCAATCTATCAGGTCCCAAACAAGCTCCCCATTTGCGACAGGAAGGAGACTCTAACCAAGCCAGTTTGTCCATCCCTCTGCCTCTGCGCAAGCCCTAATGGACAGGAGCTGACTGTTCTCAGCAGAGGCACCCGGCCCAAGGCCACCCCTAATACCACACTACTGGGGTTGCCGTGCCCAGCTCATCTGGTACTGAAGGAAAGCTGGGCCTAGCTCTGGCAGGACGCAGTAAGAGAGGGATGTGACAGGCCGCCGGCAATGACACCTATCCCCAACATCCATCCACCGGACCTGGTGCCAGACTGAATGCTCAGCGCATCTCTCACCATGACAGGGCCACAGCTCCAGGGCAGGTGACATTTCCTGGTGTCTAATAGCCCTCTTGTCTGCTGCCAGACCTGTCTCCATCTCTCTTCCTCCTTCCTTCCTGTCTCTCTCATAAACTACTTTTCTGTCTTTGTGTCTCTGTGCCAGCCCCCATCTCCCCACTTCATGTCTATCTTTCTGGGTCTTCCTCTCTAAGTCTCTCCCCTCTGTCTCTCTCCACCACCATCACCTCAGTCTCCCTTGAAAGTCTCCCTTTCCGCCTGTGTGTGTGTGTGTGTGTGTGTGTGTGTGTGTGTGTGTCTCGTCTTCCCTATCTGCTCCTCTCCCTCTTCTTGAGTCACTGCAGGGTGCTGTGGCTTCCTATTCCCAGCTGCTCCCGAGTCTGTCTGGCATCCCCCCGGCTTTCTCCCTCCCTCCCTGGGGACAGGACTCGGGTGGTGGCAGCGTGGTGTGAGATGCCACTGGAGCGGCAACAGCACCGACACTCACACATGCAGACATCCTTGTTGAAGCAAGAGACACAGATGGGGGAGAGCACAGGTGTTGGGGGAGGCCGGAAGAGCTGCAGACACAGGGGAGTGTGGGAGCCACGCACGGGGCCTCTGAAGCAGGGCTGGGGGCAGCCGGCCAAGAGGCAGAGACAGGGGGCTTCTACATCACCCTCCCCTACGAAAGCTGCTCCGAGTCCAAAGTAGAGTAGAAGGCGCACCAGTCGGGAATGAAGACCTGAGCCCCACTCTTGGGACAGCCATTGACCCCGAGTAACTGAGCAAGTCCTCACAAGCCCCTGCTGCGTTACCTGGGGGAAAAAGTCAGTGATTTTTTTAAACCCCCTTCTTCAAGCAAGAGAAACTTAAGAAAAAAAGAAAAAAGAAAAGAAAACCCTACTTGGAACCTTATTAACAAGAAAGATAAAAACAGACTGTTACAGGTCCTGCCACAGAAGGTGCCACAGAGAGCCTCACTTGGCAGCCTTTCCTGGGTCACCCTGGAGGCACCTCCTTGGGCGCAGTTTGAAAACCGCCCACTCAGATGACTTCAAAAGGTCTTTGAGCTCCGTCAGACTGCCTGCCAGTCCAAAAGGTGAAAACCATCTTGGCCCGGAACTGCCCTTAACGGTCCCCAAAGCACTGTTCTCTGCCCCCCTGGCCCTGCGGGTGCAAGGTGGCAGCTGCGAGCGGAACAGTGAGGCCTGGCCTCCCCCACACCGCCGTGCCCACCGCCCTGATGAGGGGCAGGCAGGAATGAGTGCTGTGGGCCAGAGACAGCACGGCTGCCGCCCAGGCCCATGGGAGCAGCAGCCCCTGCCGAGCCCAGCCTCCGAGGTCACCTCTGCTGTCCTTGCTCCCTGCCCCGCCCACGTGCCTGCACAGGTGTCTGGAGTGGAGCGGCACGTTATGGCGTGAAGAAGTCCGTCCGGGACGGACAGAGCAGACTTGACACTCACCCATTGTGTGTTTTAGGGGAAGCGGAGCTGCTAAGGCTTGGGCACGGGGGCAAGGAAATGGGAGGCTTTATCATCCCCGGTAAGGGAAGGAGGGGTGAGGGGAAGAGGCAGGCCACTGGGCACAGTGGATTACTCCAGTTCTTGCAGCTCCTGAGGCAAAGGGGCGGGGCAGGCACGGCCCCCAGGGCCTGCCAGGCCTTCTCTTACCCTAGGAAATGCCAGTATTGGCCAGACTGAACGAGGAGCTTTTGGGTAGGGTCCCAGACTCAGGACAGACAACGGCAGGCAGCTGACATCATGGAAAGAAAGCTGGACCCTGAGGTCAGGGTTCAAATCTCAGTCTGCCTTTAGAAGCTGTGCAACCTGGAGCAAACGTAACCGTCCTGACACTCCGTTTCTTCAGCTGCGTTAAATAAAGGCAATGTTAATATATTTAATGCCTTAGAACTATATCCTAAAATGATTCAAATGGTAGATTTTATGTTATGTATATTTTACCACAGTAAAAAAAAGCAACGATAATTACTACCTAGTCCTAGGGCTGGCATTTCTAGAAGTGTCAGAAGTACGGTAGGTGCTTGGTCAGTGGTGGCTGAGACGGAACAAGTAACTGGCAAGATCGTTCAGGTAAGAGGAAAAGTGGGGGGGGGGGGGGGGGGGAAGGGTGCTTATACACTACAGCGACATGTAATGAAATCACCCAAAAGGCTGGGTTCAAATGTGAGCTCTACAAGTCCTCTCACAGGTGACCCAGAGCAAGCTTTCTTAAGCCTAAAGTCTGGGTCCCCTACCTGTGCATAGAATGGGCCAAGTCATTCCAGCTCCAGGCAAAGGTGAACTCCCAGGCTGGGGGCGGGGGCAGGAAGCGGGGGACTGTCCCTGCTCCCTGCACAGGCTGAGGAAGTGCCAGTGGTGCCCAGTCCCCCCTGCAGTTCCAAGCTCCGTCCCTTCAGTCACCCCCAGATCCCCATTTCCATAGCTCTTAGGGGACAGAGGCACAGATGAGGTCCTTGCCAGCTCTCAGTCACAGCCCAGACCACAAGCTCCCGGACTGCCTGCAGTTCCTGGCTGGCGTTTCCTGGCCAAGGCAAGTCTTCAATTTGAGCAATGCCACTTATTCACTGTACAAGCCTCAGAGGCTACATCTGGAAACTGGGGACAATGGTCTTGACCCTGGGCTATCGGGGGCATCAAAGGACACAGTGATGCACACGAAGTGCCTAGAACGGTGTCTGGCTCCACAGAGTAAATGCTCATTAGACATTACCCACTGCCACCACTGCCATCTGAGTTTCCTTGCCCTTTCCCAAGCCCTGACCTCCAACAGTGGCCTGGCCAAGCTGTACCAGGCCCAGTGAGAGCTTATTCCACAAAGCTATGCTCTGTGGCCCCGGGGAAGGAAGACCAAGTCTCATCTCTATCCAGAAATGACCCACATTTCTGGGCAGTGTGGCTTCTCCAAACCTTCTCTTGAGG